GGATATATACCCAGTAATGGGATTTCTGGGTCAAATGGAATTTCTATTTCTTGGTCCTTGAGGAATCGCCACACTGTCTTCCACAATGGTTGAACTAATTTACACTCCCACCAACAGTGCAAAAGTGTTCCTATTTCTCCACATCCTCTCCAGCATCTGTTGTCTCTAGATTTTTTAATGATCGCCATTCTAACCGGCGTGAGATGATATCTCAATGTAGTTTTGATTTGCATTTCTCTGATGACCAGTGATGATGAGCATTTTTTCATGTTTGTTGGCCTCATGTATGTCTTCTTTTGTAAAGTATTCTGTTCATATCCTTTGTCCACTTTTGAATGGGCTTGTTTGTTTTTTTCTTGTAAATCTGCTTTAGTTCTTTGTAAGTTCTGGATCAGCCCTTTGTCAGATGGGTAGACTGCAAAAATTTTTTCTCATTCTGTTGGTTGCAGATTCACTCTAATTAGACTGTTTCTTTTGCTGTACAGAAGCTGTGGAGCTTAATTAAGTCCCATTTGTCTATTTTGGCTTTTGTTGTCAATGCTTAAAAGGAGAAAACAACACTCATTACCCTACCTCTTTATGGTAAATACTGTTAACCCTATTATGCTCATATTTTTACCTTTAGCTACAGATTTTTTTTAATAGGAGTGTTATTGTTTTGAGATTTCCTTTTTTTACTTAAGTATTTAAAATTAGCCAGGTACGGTAGCTTAAACCTGTAATTCCAGCACTTTGGGAGGTCAAGGCGGGCGTACCACCTGAGGTCAACAGTTTGAGACCAGCCTGCCCAACATAGCAAAACCCCTTCTCTACTAAAGATGCAAAAATTAGCCAGGCTTGGTGGCGGGCACCTGTAATCCCTGGTACTCGGGAGGCTGAGGCAGGAGAATCGCTTCAACTGTGGAGGAGGAGGTTGCAGTGTGCAGAGATCACGCCACTGCACTACAGCCTGGGTGACAGAGCGAGACTCCATCTCAAAAAAAATTATCCATTCATACCTATAAATATTAATCTGTAGTATAATTTTAAAGGATTAGATAATGTTCCAGTACATGATTTAATCCCAATTTTCTGTTTTTATGCATGTAGGATTTTTTATTATAAATATCTATGGATCAATATCTTGATGTTTATAATTGTTGTTCCACAACAAATCCGTTGAAATACACTTGCTATGTCAAAGTATAGGCACATTTTCAAACCTTATGTATTTTTATCTACCCTATTATGATTTAGTTTTCTTGACCTCTCTTCAGCATTTTATTCTGCTTACTTAATGAAATATATTCCTTTCATTCTCTTGTTAGTTCATTCAGAAAATCTTTACTGTGTCTGTTAAGTGCCATACTTTATTAGATACAGCCTTTTTGACAGCATCAGTGACTTTATTCTTTTCTGTTTTTGGATTCCTTTTTGTCATTCATTTTTGCTAATTCTTTCTTCTCCTCCTTTATTTAACTTTCAATTAGAATTGTCTTCTAGAGTTATATCTTCAGTTTACCCTCCATTTTATCTACAGTGGCTTCAATGATTAGTTTTTTAATGACCACCCCTATATCTGTCCAGCCCTAAGCCTGTCCTAAGCATATTTGCAAATTTTATGTGGCATTTGGATCTGTACATCATGCAAGCTCCAAAAGGGGAGTTTATTAAGTATTAACTTTCATTATCACAAGGTCTCACAATAGGCTTCTGCAAACTTGAGGAGTGAGGAGAGTCAGTCCAAGTCTCAAAAGCAGAGCTTAGAGTTTGATGTTTGAGGGCAGGAAGTATCCAGCCCAGGAGAAAGATGTAGGCTGGGAGGCTGGGCCAGTCTTGCCTTTTCTTTTTCTTTCTTTCTTTTTTTTTTTTTTGAGATGGAGTTTCACCATGTTGGCCAAGGTGGTCTCAAACTCCTGACCTCAGGTGATCCGCCCACCTTGTCCTCCCAAAGTGCTAGGTTTACAGGCGTGAGCCACCACACCCAGCCCAGTCTTGCCTTTTCATGTTTTTCTGCCTACTTTATATTCGCTGGCAGCTGATTAGATGGTGCCCATCAGATTAAGGGTGGGTCTACCTTCTCCAGCCCACCGACTCAAGTGTTAATCTCCATTGGTAACACCCTCACAGACACACCAGGATCAATACTTTGTATCCCACAGTTCAATCAAGTTGACACTCAGTTTTAACCATCACAAGTCCACCCCTTGTCAACTTGAACCCATATATATCTCCTGAGATCATACATAGTCTTCAAATAAAGACAATAACAAGGTCATAATTGCGCCTAACATAATACAGCTGTCCTTTCTACACCTGGAAACGCATCAATCCCCAACCCAAATACTATTACATAAAGTTTACAATACTTAAATGCTGCAGTAAATCTTACAAAGGTAATTTCTTAATACAGAGTTTACAAGCACAAATATGTTTTTAACAAAAGAAGGAGGAAATGCTGATGACACAGTCCTCCTTTCTGTGGCTAGTCACATGATTGTAACTGGTATTGATGAATACCTTCTAGTACCCATTCTGTATTCCCTTTGCCTTTGGTACCTCAGGAAGTTGTGGTTTTTTCTTCCTGGTGAAGTGACCCAAACCTTCATTCTTGAGGGGTCTGGACCATTTGTACTCCTGCCTGGATTAGGCTGTTGTAGTTTCCTATTGACTTTCATCACAGGGAATAGTAATACTAAGAGACGCCCTAATGGATCTCCTGTATTCCATGCATACTCTTCCTTACCTCCGTTATGGAATAGTAGACCGATTTTGTATTGATAGTCCAGGTCAGTCACCCTAGCCAACACTGTAATTCCCTTCTTAGCCCGTTGACTTAAGGGAAGGAGGAACCCAAAGTGTCCAGGTGGCAATCTTGACTTCCAGTTTAATGGAATAACTGTGTCTCCTGGTGGCAGCATTCCTCCCTCTGGAACTATGACCTCAAGGCCAAGAGAACATAATGTTGTGGGAACAGGAAACAAACATTTTGCTAGTGGATCACTAGGGGTGATGGTGAGTGGTGCTACCTCCACTTCCACTGCTTGATTCCTGGAACCTTGAATCCTGGCCATTGCAGAAACAGTACCATATATTGGACAGCAATTCAGAGCATACAGGGCCTTCTGTAGAATTTGCCCCAGCCCTGAAATGTATTGTCACCAAGTTGGCATTATAACTGTGACTTTAAAAGACCATTTCACTGTTTTATCAATCCAGCTGCTTCAGTATGATGGGGAGCATTGTAAGACCAGTGAATTCCATGAGCATAGGCTACTGCCAGCTTCTTTAGCCATAAGATGGGTGCCTTGGTCAGAGACATTGCTGTGCGGAATACCATGATGGTAAATAAGATATTCACTCAGTGAGTGCACTGATAGTAGTCCTGGCAGAAGCACTGTGTGCAGGATAGGCAAACCCATATCTGGAGTAAGCGTTTATTCCAGTGAGGACAAACCTCTGCACTTTCCATAATGGAAGAGGTCCATTGTAATCAACTTGTCTCCAGGTAGCTGGCTGATCACCCCAAGGAATGGTGCCATATCAAAGGCTAAGTGTTGGTCTCTGCTGCTGGCAAATTGGGCACTCAGCAGTGGTCATAGCCAGGTCAGCCTTGGTGGGTGGAAGTCCATGTTTGTGAGCTCATGAATAACCTCCATCCTGGCCACCATGGCCACTTTGTTCATAGGCCTGTTGAGTGATCACAGTGGTGGCTGGGGAAAGAGGCTGAATGGTGTTCACAGAACGGATCACCCTATCCACTTGATTATTAAAATCCTTCTCTGCTGAGGTCACCTGTTGGTGAGCGCTCACATGGGATACAAATCTTCATGTGCCCACTCAGAGAGGTCCTTCCTCATACCTCTTTTCCAAATTTCTTTGTCACCAGTTTTCCAATCATGCTTCTTCCAAGTCCCTGACCATCCAGCCAAATCATTGTCTACAGCCCATGAATCAGTATATAATCGCACAGTTGACCATTTCTCCTTCTATGCAAAGTGCACAACCAGGTGCACTGCTGAAAGTTCTGCCTACTGGGATTTCCTTTCACTACTATCCTTCAGAGATGTTCTAGAAAGGGACTGTGGACTGTAGTGCTGCAGCTGTCTACCTTCAGATGGTGCCTGCATATCATGCAGAACCATCTGTGAACCAGGTCCTAGTCTCCTGTTCCTCTGTCATCTGATCACAGAGAACTGCCCATGAGGCCATGGGTGTAGGCTATGGGAGAAAAGGCAGGGTGGCAGGAGTGGAGACTAAGGGCATTTGAGCCACTTCCTCATGTAACTTACTTGTGTCTTCAGCACCTGCTTGAGCCTGATTACGTATGTACCGCTTCCACTTGATGATGGAATGCTGCTGTGCATGACCCACTTTATGGCCAGATGGGTCAGAAAGCACCCAGTTCATGATAGGCAATTCAGGTCACATGGTGTCTTGATGATCCATAGTCAAACATTCAGTTTCTACCAAAACCCAGTAACAGGCCAAGAGCTGTCTCTCAAAATAGAGACAGCCTCAGAAGATGTCAGGGCCTTGCTCCAAAATCCTAGAGGCCTCCACTGTGATTCCCTTTTGGAGACCTGCCAAAGGCTCCAAGCAGCATCCCTGTCTGCCACTGACACTTCAAGCGCCATTGAATCTGCTGGATCATATGGCCCAAGTGGCAGAGCAGCTTGCACAGCAGCCTGGACCTGTTGCAGAGCCTCCTGTTCTAGACCCCACTCAGAACTGGCAGCCTTTTGGATCACTTGATAAGTGGGCTGGAGTAACACACCCTAATCCGGAATGTGTTGCCTCTAAAATCTAAATAGGCCCACCAGATGTTGTGCCTCTTTCTTGGTTGTAGAAGGGGCCAAATGCAGCAACGTATCCTTCACCTTAGAAGGAATATCTCAACAGGCCCCACACCACTGAACCCCCTAGAAATTTTACTACAGTAGAATGTAGTTCCCTGAATCTTAGTTGGATTTATTTCCCATCCTCTGGCATGCAAATATCCCAGCAAAATGTCTAGTGTGTTTGCTACTTCTTGCTCACTGGATCCAGTGAGCATAATGTCATCAATGTAATGAACCAGTGTGATATCTTGTGAAAGCAAAAAGCAATCAAGTTCTCCCTGGATAAGATTATGATACAAAGCTGGAGAGCTGATATATCCCTGAGGTTGGACATTAAAGGTATATTGCTGGCCTTGCCAGCTGAAGACAGATTGCTTCTGGTGGGCCTTATGGACAGGAATGGAGAAAAAGGCATTTGCCAAGTCAATGGCTGCATACCAGATACCAGCAGATGTGTTAATTTGCTCAAGCAATGAAACCACATCTGGTACAGCAGCTACAGTTGGAGTCACCACTTTGTTAAGCTTACGATAATCCACTGTCATTCTCCAAGATCCATCTGTCTTCTGCACAGGCCAAATGGAAGAGTTGAATGGGGATGTGGTGGGAATCACAACCCATGCATCCTTCAAGTCCTCGATAGTGGTACTAATCTCCGCAATCCCTCCAGGGATGCAATCTTGTTTTGATTTAGTGTTTTTCTAGGTAGAGTCATCTCTAATGGCTTCCATTTGGCCTTTCCTACCTTAATAGCTCTCACCCTTCCAGTCAGAGAGCCAATGTGGGGGTTCTGCCAGCAGCTAAGTATATCTATACCAGTTATGCATTCTGGCACTGGGGAAGTGACTGCAGATGAGTCTGGGGACCCACTGGCCATGCTGTAAGTCAATATGAGCTAAAACTCCATGAATTACCTGACCTCCATAAGCCATTACTTTAATTGAAGGACGACAATAACATTTTGTGTCCCCCGGAATCAATGTCAGCTCAAAATCAGTGTCCAGTAGTCCACATAATGTCTGATCATGCACAGTTACCCTGGTAAAAGGCCTCCTTAGGGAAGGATGGGAGAAACATTCACAGCATAAATTGTTGGTACTATAGTGGGGTCCTTCCTCTTGCGTACCTTCACTCAAGGGGTTCTGGGTCTGTAAACTGGCTCAAGTCTGGAAATTGATTGATGGGCTGTGATTCTCTGTTTTTATAATTCAAATTAGCTTTTTGTCCATTTGACCTAGAAGTTTTCTGCTAATATAAATTAAGCAGGAATGCATTAGGTTTCCTATCAATTTCACTTCTAGGAACACTGTGATTAATTGGCCAGTGCCAGAGCTCTGCATGAGTCAGGCTGTTCTGATTGCTTCTTTGTCTCTGTTGTCCATTACAGTAGCTAGGCCCGCCTTGCCTTTGGTGGTTGCGTGCCACCACTTGGCCCTTGCCACCTCGGCATCAAATTGTTCTTGCATTTAAATTTTATAGTTGAATGATCTCAGTTCCCACTGTTAGATCTCACATACAGAGTAGAGCAATTACAGGGCTCTTCAGAGATGCAGGTATGGCCCTCACAAATCTGTTTCACAAGGCATTTGGTCAAGGGTATATCTTCTGGAACCTCCCAGATGGGATGAGTAGGTCTAAAGTGACTAAACCACTCCACCATCTCAATCTCCCTAAGACTTTGGATTCCTTCCTCTACATTAAACCAAGGGAGATCAGACATATCCACCTTGCTCACAGTGGGCCATCTTTAATCCATATTTCAGCTTATTAAGCAAATAGACTATTAGAATCTTTTTTAACTCCTCAAGCTGAAACATTAAATGCAAAGTCCCTACTTAGTGGACCTAAATCAATAAATTCAGCCTGATCCAACTCTGTGTGCCCTTAATATGCATTCTTATGCCTGTTCTCCAGATTTCTGTGTCTGTAAGTTGTATAAACAGAACTCAAGCAGTTCTTTTCAAGTGTAGCACACCTCCTCTTGTGTCACAGTCGCAACCCCACCTCTAGGGGCCCACTGGGACATTAGTCTAGTTATAGGTCTGGAAGCAAACAGGGGTGTTGTGGGTGGCTTCTGAGAAGAATCAACATTATCTTGACTGGAAAATGCCTCAGGGGAGGCCATCACTGTTGCCTCAGGCAGCACAGGGTTTATCTCCTCAAAGTGGAAAGGCTGATGGCAGCCTGGGTCCAGGAGGGGATGTTGCTACTACTGGGGATGGGAAAGCTGTTTCTTCTGACAGAAAAGTTTCATCAGAGTTTACAAACTCAGGGTCCTCGGCTTCATCAGAGTCCTTCCACACGTCCTCATTCCAAGTTGCAGGGTCTCACTGTTTTCCAATCAGTACCCTCACTTTAACAGTAGACACCTGGCAAGGCTGTGCATATACCTTTTGTTGCAGATCAGCCCCTCGCATGATAAGAGCTTGTGTCTGGTTTTCTGCAATTTCAGCTCTTTTTCAGCTCAGGAGCTAAGCTTCTTACTCTGGGCAATCTTGGCAGATTTGAGGCTCAGTATCTGCTTCTGAAGCCAGGAGACAGAATCCCTGAGTTCATCATTTTCTTTCGTCAGTTTATCCACTGAACTTAGGAGCAACCAACCAGCTTCATTATGTTCCTTGGTTCTCCACATATGGTCAACGGTATCATGCATAGAGTCACTTAACTCCTTGCTTCTCACAAGCAGTGAATCAGGAGTGTCAAATGCATTTATTTTGCATAACCCTCTAAACAGTTCATGCCAAGGAATATCAGTGTCCTCTGCAGTATTACAAGTAGAGTCCTTAGCATTTTTGGGTCTAATCATATTAAGCAGCCAACTCCAGAAACCCCAAAACCAATGAAAGAATCCCATCCTTAATATTCTGTTCCTTTAGAACCACTCTTGGTACCAAAATCTGTATTAGTCAGGGTTCCCTAGAGGGATAGACCTAATATGATATACATAGTTCTAGCCATATATATATATATGGATATATTATATCATATTAGTTCTTACATGATCACAAGTCCCACAATAGGCTGTCTGCAAGCTTGAAGAGCAAGAAGAACCAGTTTGAGTCTGAGAAGTGAAGAGCTTCTAGTCTAATGTTTGAGGGCAGGAGGCATCCAGCATGGGAGAAAGATACAGGCTGGGAGGCTAGGCCGGTCTTGCCTTTTCACATTTATCTGCCTGCTTTATATTCTATGACAACTGATTAGATGGTGCCTGCCAGATTAAGGGTGGGTCTGCCTTCTCCAGCCCACTGACTCAGATGTTAATCTCCATTGGCAACACCCTCACAGACATACCAGGATCAATACTTTGCAACATTCAGTCCAATCAAGCTGACATTCAGTATTAATCATCACAGTCCCTAAACCATACTCTGTATTTACAAAAGCTCCAACTAATGTCCAACTGCAAGTGAACCAGAACATTTCTAAAACACAGATCTGAATTTGGTACATAGAGTAAGTGAGCAGGCCTCCTATCGTCTCTGCTCATTCTTTGCAGCACTTACAGAATTTTATTGGCAAACCGACCTTGCTCTTCATTTCTCTTCTTTAGATATGGTTGTATGTGTATTAAAATTTAAAAGCTTCAGATTTGATGGTGTGGTTACTGTGTATATAATTTATGTACTTTTCTTGGTTTTGATAACAGACAGAAAGGGAATTGAGATTTACGTTTCTGCTACTTTTGCGTGTGCCGACCAGAAGGAAAACTTTTATGTTGGGAAAATGAAGTATGTTTGGTTAAGTATGATACATGTATGTGCACTTGGGTGTGCATGCATATATAAAAAAAAATTCCCATATGTGTATATATACATACATGTGAATGTATGTTACATATACATACACACATATGTATCTTAGCCAAACACATATACATATATGTGCTTGTATATACACATACACACATTGTATTTGCTTAGAGTTTGTAAAAGCATAATTTATGGCAATGTATACATGGACTTATTTATATTGTTAATAGAAAAGAAATGTTTTTCATCCCTGAATATACTGAATTAGTACGAGGAGAACGTGACAGGAAAAAGAGAAGGAAGGGGCTTATGACTGGAATTATGAGATACACCAAGAACATGTTTGGAATTCTTTCAAGTGGAAATGACAGACAACTAAGACTAAACTTTATCGAATCATTCTAGTTACTCCAGACAAATGCCTACCTCCACACATGAATGATGTGATATTTTAACAGCAACATAGAAAGCTTGTAGTAATTAAGAACAGAGTTATTATGTTTCTGGTAAGATTTGATTTGGGTTTTAAGTAAACTCCTGGGGGATTCACCATATCCAAAATACATCTCAAAACAAATAAAAAGGCTGATCCCTCATCTTACAGATTAATTTTATTTCTTCAGATAGTTCAAATAAACATTACACATAAAGGAGACACTGATTTTCATATCCAGAAATAAAATTAGAGGGGGGAGGAGGAAAATGAGGAGGGGAGGGAGAGTGGGTGGGAATGAGGAGGGAGCATGGGAAAGCAGGAAGAAAGGATGAGGTGGGGGAAGGAGGGAGGTTGGAACTGGTGGGGAGGCAAGGAGGGAGGTCAGGTGAGTAAAAGAGTGGGAGGCTTGGGGGAAGATTTGGAAAGAGAGGGAAGGAAGGTGATGGGGCAGGGAGAGGGGTGTGTGTGTGTGTGTATTGGGCTCAGAGAAAGAAATTATATAGTGTGTAGTATGAAATCTAGCTTTTTTTTTCTTCTTTATTTTTTATTTCCATAGGTTTTGGGGAACAGGTCGTATTTGGTTGCATAAGTTTTTTTTTTTTTTAATTGTACTTTAGGTTCTGGGGTACACGTGCAGATCATGCAGGATTTTTGCATAAGCAAGGAGGTTTGCTGCCTCTGTCCCCCCGTCACCTATATCTGGCATTGCAGTGATGCTAAATGCTCATTTTCACACTAAATTGGGAAGCTCCCTTTGCATCTGAAGCAAAACAATGTATCTTGTCCATAATTGGACATGAGGATCAAGTGCCAAACTCTTAGCGTCCCGGCTTACTTAGGGCATATGTTCTGGGCATAGCAGTCTCTACAGGACTGATGGGAAACCCGAGTGAGGGCTCACAGTATGGTTAGTGTGAGCTGGTATGCATATCCTGCCCTTAGACTGCTCTTTTGATTATAACTAGGTTATGCTAGTTGTGCTTCTTGGTGCATATTCAAAGATATATTGATGTCTCCTGGGTAATGCTGACATGCTATGCAGCTGTGTATAGTGTTATAATAATAAATTTGATGTCTGTAAACTACTTGGGGCTATAGAGTCGAACATGTTACAGGCATTTTTTTCTAATGCATAAGCCCAGCCAGGCACAGTGACCCATGCCTATAATCCCAGCACTTTGGGAGGCCAAGGCAGACAAATCACCTGAGGTCAGGAGTTCGAGACCAGCAGGATCAACATGGAGAAACCCCATCTCTACTAAAAATATAAAAAATTAGCCGGGCATGGTGACTCATGCCTGTAATTCCAGCTACCCAGGAAGCTGAGGCAGAAGAATCACTTGAATCTCCCGGGGGGAAGAGGTTTTGGTGATCCAAGATCACGCAGCCGTACTCCAGCCTGGGCAAAAAAAAAAAAAACTTTTTCTTAAAAAAAAAAAAAAAAAAAAGCCCTTAATTGGTGTATTTACATTTTATAATATGAAGGCATAACATATAAACATATAAATGCTTATAAGGTCAATATAATGAATATTAATATTATAGTCTTAATATGATGTAACAATATATTATCTGCTGGAAATGCTCAGTTGGAGTCACTCAGTCTTTTCTTTTTTTTGAGACGTAGTCTCGCTCTGTCGCCCAGGCTGGAGTGCAGTGGTGCGATCTTGGCTCACTGCAACCTCCACCTACCAGATTCAAGCAATTCTGCCACAGCCTCCCGAGTAGCTGTGATAATGTTTGGTGTGGAAATCCTGTGGGTCTCAGGGCTCTGGACTGACCCTGGTTATAATTCTTTGCTCTAAAGTTCTGACTGAGTAGGCTGTGATTTGTTCTTGAGTACGCTTCCATTTTGGGCTGTCAAAAATACCAATTTCCTGTGGTTAAACTGAAATCTTTTACTCAAAAGGAATTTTATTTCAGGTTTTTAATGTAAGCAAGATAAACTCCTTTGGGATGTCAAATTGGCATTTGTTTCTTTTTTAAAAAAAATAATTTCTTTATCAAATATTTTTTGACAACAATTATATTAATTCAGTTTTATTAGAGATAAAATTTAATAAGGTGAAAATAACTTTTTTAAAAAAGACAATTTAGAGCTTAGAAAACATATATGTTTGTTTTGTTTTATCTATTATTGGAGCAGAAGCAGAGACTCAGTAAATGTCAAAATTCTGTGTGGCTTAAGTTTACTTTCCACTTCCAGCCTAGAGCATGTATTTATCTTTTGGCAGAGCAGCTAGAGATGATAATAATTCATAGTTTGTGTGACATCTACTAACTACCATTTTTTATTTATTTTTATTAAAATAATAAGTGTACATAGTTTGAAAAGTCAAAAAAGTATGGGAGGGTTTTTAAGAATGAAGAGTAATCCTTTACCCATTCTACTGCACTCCCAAGTCCCACTCCTCAGAGGCTGCCACATCTCTTTCTTTGTTTTGTTTTTTGTTTTTTTGGGTGTGCATATGTGTATGTGTGGTGGGGGGATCTCCACATTTTAAAAACAGTGCACTTACACTATCTTGATTTTTTTTTTTTAACTTTCAGCTTTCATCTATTATGGGTAGGGATTTAGAAGCTTAGGATTTAGATTTCATTGTCTTTCCTTCTCTCTCTGTTCTATAGCTTTATCATAATCTTGATTAAATCACTATCAAAAGCTTATATTATTATGTCTGTATAAATATTGTTTATTGGTAATTTAAGTAATATGACTATATATCCTTTTTCCTAAAATGTTACTTTTCTTGGAGTTAATAATTGCATGATTTTCATATTTACTTTATTTTCAAGGGACATGCTAGTACTATATCCCTAGACCACCCTAAAAATATACTGCTACCTCTGCTACTGCATAACAGTTATATAGTGCTCATTATGTCCCTTTGTATCGGTTTTGTATTTAAGTCACTCAATTTCAGAATAAACTTATGAAGAAGGTACTCTTATTATTTCCTTTGTTTTGTTTTTTAAACAAATGATTCAACTGAGACACAGAGAAGTTAAGCCATTCAATTAAAGTGACACAGCTGGTAATTGGTATACTTGGTATTTGAATCCAGATAGCCTGTTTCCAAAGAACGTAATGCCATATATTGTACTGCTTTACAAAGTATATGTCAAGGTACCCCACATCATTCTTTCCAATTATTATTATTATTATTATTATTATGTTTTGTATTTTGGGCTCTAGTGTACATGTGCACATTCTTCATCCTGCAGGATTGTTGCATAGGTATACATACCATGGTGGTTTGCTGTCTCCATTCCACCGCCCCCCTCCACCACCCATTGCCTACATCAGGCATTTCTCCCGGTGTTATCCCTCCCCATCCTCCCTGCCTCATGCTGTCCCTCCCCTCCCCTCCAGCCCCCCACCTAGCCCACTGAGTGTTATTCTCTTCCCTGTGCCCAAACGTTCTCATTGTTATCTCCAACCTATGAATGAAAACATGCGATGTCTGGTTTTCTGTTCTTGTGTCAGTTTGCTGAGGATGATGGTTTCTAGATTGATCTGTGTTTCTACAAAGGACATGAACTCATCGTTTTTTATGGCTGCATAGTATTCCATGGTGTATATGTGCCACATTTTCTTTGTTCAGTCTTTCATTGATGGGCTTGGGTTGGTTCCAGGTCTTTGCTTTCCTAAATAGCACCACAGTAAACATACTTGTGCATGTGTCTTTATAATAGAGCAATTTATAATCCTTTGGTTATATACCCAGTAATGGGATTGCTGGGTCAAATGGAATTTCTATTTCTAGATCCTTGAGAAATTGCCACACTGTCTTCCATAATGGTTGAACTAATTTACTTGCCTACCAACAGTGTAAAAGTGTTCCTTTATCTCCTTACCCTCTCCAGCATCTTTTGTCTCCAGATTTTTAATGATTGCCATCCTAACTGGCGTGACGTAGTATCTCAATGTGGTTTTGATTTGCATTTCTCTAATGACCAATGATATGATTTTTTTCATATGTTTGTTGGCCTCATATATGTCTTCTTTTGAAAAGTGTCTGTTCAAATCCTTTGCCCACTTTCGAATGGGTTTGCTTTTTTTTTTTTTTTTTCTTGTAAATCTACTTTAGTTCTTTGTAGATTCTGGATATTAGCCCTATGTCAGATGGGTAGATTGCAAAAATATTTTCCCATTCTATTGGTTGCCAGTTCACTCTGATGAATATTTCTTTTGCTGTTCAGAATCTCTGGAGTTTAATTAGATTTCGTTTGCCTATTTTTGCATTTGTTGCCATTGCTTTTGGTGTTTTAGTCATGAAGTCCTTGCCTCTGCCTGTATCCTAAATGGTGTTGCCTAGGTTTTCTTCTAGGGTTTTTGTGGTGTTAGTTCTTATGTTTAAATCTTTAATCCATCTGGAGTTAGTTTTTGTATAAGGTATAAGGAAGGGGTCCAGTTTGAGCTTCCTGCATATGGCTAGCCAGTTTTCCCAATACCATTTATTAAACAGGGAATCCTTTCCTCATTGCTTGTTTTTATCAGGTTTGTCAAAGATCAGATGGTTGTAGATGTGTGGCTTTGTTTCTGAGGCCTCTGTTCTGTTCCATTGGTCTATATCTCTGTTTTGGTACCAGTACCATGCTGTTTTGTTTACTGTAGCCTTGTAGTATAGTTTGAAGTCCGGTAGCATGATGCCTCCAACTTTTTTCTTTTTGCTTAGGATTCTCTTGGCTACGAGGTCTCTCTTTTGGTTCCATATGAAGTATAAAGTGATTTTTTCCAGTTCTGTGAAGAAGTTCAATGGTAGCTTGATGGGGATAGCATTGACTCTATAAATTCCTTTGGACAATATGGCCATTTTCACAATATTGATTCTTCCTAACCATGAGCCTGGGATGTTTTTCCATCTGTTTGTGTCCTCTCCTATTTCCTTGAGCAGTGCTTTGTAGTTCTCCTTGAAAAAATCTCTTACATCCTTTGTTAGTTTTATTCCTAGGTATTTTATTCTTTTTGTAGCAGTTGTAAATGGGAGTTCGCTCGTGATTTGGCTCTCTGTTTGTCTGTTGTTGATGTATAGGAATGCTTGTGATTTCTGCACGTTGATTTTGTATCCTGAGACTTGGCCTAAGTTGCTTATCAGCTTAAGGAGGTTTTGGGCTAAGATGATGGGGTCTTCTAAATATATCATCATGTCATCTGCAAATAGGGACTATTTGATTTCTTCTTTTCCTAATTGAATGCCCTTTATTTCTTTTTCTTGCTTAGTTATTTTAGCTAGAACTTCCAATACAATATTGGATAGGAGTGGAGAGAGAGGGAATCCCTGTCTAGTGGCAGTTTTTAAAGGGAATGCTTCTAGTTTTTGCCCGTTTAGTATGATATTGGCTGTGGATTAGTCATAAATAGCTCTTATTATTTTGAGATACATTCCAGCAATACCTAATTTCTTGAGAGTTTTTAGCATAAAGGGCTATTGAGTTTTGTTGAAGGCCTTCTCTGCATCTATTTAGATAATCATATGGTTTTTGTCTTTGTTTCTGTTTATGTGGTGGATTACATTTATATACTTGCAAATGTTGAACCAGCCTTGCATCCCTGGGATGAAGCCTACTTGATCGTGGTGGATAAGCTTTTTGATGTACTGTTGGATTTGGTTTGCCAGTATTTTATTGAAGATTTTTGCATCAATGTTCATCATCAGTATTGGCCTATAGTTTTCTTTTTAAGTTGTGTCTCTGCCAGATCTTGGTATCAGGATGATATTGGTTTCATAGAAAGAGTTAGGGACGATTCCCTCTTTTTGTATTGTTTGGAATAGTTTCAGCAGGAATGGTACCAGCTCCTCTTTGTACATCTGGTAGAATTTGGCTGTGAACCTGTCTGGACCTGGACTTTTTTTTGGTTGGTAGGCTATTAATTGCTGCCTCAACCTCAGACCTTGTTATTGGTCTATTCAGGATTTCAACTTCTTTCTGGCTTAGTCTTGGGAGTGTGCAAGTGTCCAGGAATTTATGCATTTCTTCCAGATTTACTGGTTTATGTGCATATAGCTGTTTGTAGTAATCTCTGATGGTAGTTTGTATTTCTGAGGAATCAGTGATGATCTCCCCTTTATCATTTTTATGCATCTATTTGATTATTCTCTCTTTTCTTTTTTATTAGTCTAGCTAGTGGTCTATTTTGTTGATCCTTTCAAAAAAAAACAGCTCCTGGATTTATTGATTTTTTGAAGGGTTTTTTGTGTCTCTGTCTCCTTTAGTTCTGCTCTGATCTTAGTTATTTTCTGTCTTCTGCTTGCTTTCGAGTTTTTTTTTTTTATCTTGCTCCTCTAGCTTTTTCAATTTTGACGATAGTGTGTTGATTTTAGATCTTCCTTTGTTTCTCATGTGGGCATATATTGCTATAAATTTCCCTCTAGACACTGCTTTAAATATGTCCCAGAGATTCTGGTACGTTGTGTCTTCATTCTCGTTGGTTTCTAAGAACATCTTTATTTCTGCCTTCATTTCATTTCATTGTTTATCCATTTGTCATTCAGGAGCAAGTTGTTCAGTTTCCATATAATTGTGCAGTTTTGAGTGCTTTTCTTATTCCTGAGTTCTTATTTGATTGTGCTGTGGTCTGAAAGACTATTGTGATTTCCACTTCTTTTGCATTTGCTGAGGAGTGATTTACTCCCAATTATGTGGTCAATTTTAGAGTAAGTGTGATGTGCTGCTAAGAAGAATGTGTATTTTGTGGATGGGGGTGGGGTGTTCTGTAAATGTCTATTAGGCCTGCTTGGTCCAGATCTGTGTTCAAGTCCTGGATATCCTTGTTGACTTTCTGTCTCATTGATCTGTCCGATATTTTGTCAGTGGAGTGTTAAAGTCTCCCACTATTATTGTGCAGGAGGCTAAGTCTCTTTGTAGGTCATTAAGAACTTGCTTTAAGTATCTGGGTGCTCCTCTATTGGGTGCATAAATATTTAGGATTGTTAGCTCTTCTTGCTGCATTGATCCTTTTTCCATTATATAGTGCCCTTGTTTGTCTCTTTTGATCTTTGTTGGTTTAAATTCCTTTTTATCAGAGACTAGAATTGCTACCCCTACTATTTTTGCTCTCCATTTATTTGGTAGATTTTCTTCCATCCCTTTATTTTGAGTCTATGTGAGTCTTTGCAGATGAGATGGGTCTCCCGAATACAACACACCATTTGACTTTTTAATCCAGTTTGCTAGTCTGTGTCTTTTGATTGGGGCATTTAGACCATTTACATTCAATGTTAATGTTGTTATGTTTGAATTTGATCCTGCCATTTTGTTACTGGCTGGTTGTTTTGCCTATCCTATTAGTTGACGTTGTTTCTTCATTGTGTTGTTTTTCTTTAACATTTAATACGTTTTTGCAGAGCATGGTACTGGTTTTTCCTTTCCATGTTTAGTACTTCCTTCAGGAGTTCTTGTGAGTTAGGTTCTGTAGTGACAAAATCTCTCAGCAATTGCTTGTCCATAAAGGATTTTATTTCTCCTTCATTTATGAAGCTTAGTTTGGCCAGATATAAAATTTTGGGTTGAAAGTTCTTTTTTTTAAGGTTGTTGAATATTGGCCCCCACTCCTTTCTAGCTTGTAGAGTTTCTGCCAAGAGATCTGCTGTGAGTCTGATGGCCTTTCCTTTGTGGGTGACTAGACCTTTCTCTCTGGCTGCCCTTAGGATTTTTTCCTTCATTTCCATTCTGGTGAATCTGACAATTATGTCCCTTGGGGTTGCTCTTCTTGAGGAATATCTTTGTGGTGTTCTTTGTATTTCCTGGATTTGAAAGTTAGCCTGCCTTGTTAGGTTGGGGAAGTTCTCTTGGATAATATCCTCAAGAGTGTTTTCCAACTTGGATTCATTCTCCCTGTCACATTCAGGTACGCTGATCAAGCATAGATTAGGTCTTTTCACATAATCCCATATTTCTTGGATGCTTTGTTCATTTCTTTTCCCTCTTTTTTCTCTAATCTTGCCTTCTCATTATATTTCATTGATTTGATTTTCTATCTCTGATATCCTTTCTTCTGTTTGATCAATTTGACTGTTGAAACTTGTGCATGCCTCGCAAAGTTCTCATGCTATGTTTTCCAGCTCCAGTAAGTCATTTATGTTCTTCTCTAAGCTGGTTATTCTAGTTTGCATTTTTCAAACCTTTTCTTACTTCTTTTTCATTGGGTTAGAACATGGTCTTTTAACTCAGAGGAATTTGTTATTATCCACCTTCTGAAGCCTGCTTCTGTCAGTTCATCAAACCCATTTTCTGTCTTGTTTTGTTCCCTTGATAGTGAGGAGCTGTGATCCCTGGAAGGGGAAGAGATGTTTTGGTCTTTGAAGGTTTCATCCTTTCTGCGCATCTTCATGGATTTATCTCCCTTTGATCTTTGAAGTTGGTGATTTTGGGAGAAATCTCTGAGTGGACGTCCTTTTTGTTGTGGTTGCAGGTATATCTTTTTTGGCCTGCAGCAGCAGGGCTGCCTCAGATTCAGTCAGGTTGCTGGGTGGTGGTCTTCTCCTGGGGTTTGCTTGCAGGTGAAATTAGCCCCACCTTCCCAGTGGTGTCTCTCCTTCCCTGAGCTCTGTCTTCCGGGTTAGGGTCCAATTGGTATATTTGCTGCCATGCTCTCTAGCGTGTGGGCTTCAGTTTGAGTTTTGCTGGGAGTGGGGCTTGCCAGACTTTATGACTTCTCTGCTTTCAACTCTGCCTCTTTCTGTGGGATGGGTTGTTCCATCCCGCTGGCCATACTTCTTCCCAGGTCCCTCGGACAACTTATGGCACCAGGCAGGAGTTGTCACTCAGATTTACATCAACCTACGACACCCCTCAGTCTGGCATGGCTCTCGTGGACTGTGGGTTGCAGGAAGCTGGCTGCACGTTCCAGGTGGGGACATGCCCCACCCTGTCTTGGTTTGTTCTCCCTGGTTGGCTCTTGCCCTCCTTTGGCTCCTTCCCTGGGCTATTTTCAGATTCTTTCCATTCTCCCCAAAATGAACTGAGCACCTCACGTGGAATCGTGACGTCCTCTAGACGTCTGCATCTCATTCGCTGGGAGCTGCATTCCTGTGTTGCCTCCTCTGGGCCATCTTGGCGCTGCCTCCTCCAATTATGTTTTATAACTACAAGGTTTTCACATTCTTAAGGACAGGAACAATATCCTATTCATATTTGTGAAAATATAAACTCTCAACAGCTAAAGGGCATCAGATAACCTTTAAAAAAAAAAAACACATTATTTTGTTCTACTTTGTACTGGCGGTTTTTTGTTGTTTTTTTTTTTCCCCCTGAGTATCAGCCTTCATGGGATTTCCCTTCATCATCATCCTGGAAATTTCTTTTCTCTCTTCTGGGTTAGAGCCGCTGTTACCTGGGATCTAATTACCTATCTTCGTTTACTCCCTTGTTTTGATGGAGCCACCTTCTCAGTAGGAAAGGATGGATGGGAGGAAGTTTTTCAAGGTGGGAATGGGATAGAGGCTTCCACAATATAATTTCAGGAGCTGAAAAACCAATGGATGAGTTGTAATTGATTTATTAGGCCAGGGAAGCTAAAACCCAAGCTGGCAGTAGGGAAAACTCAAAAGTAACTTACTTGCATATCACAACATTCTAAAAGTACTAGGAATTAAGAGCACTACTCAGAATGCAGATGAAAGTAGAGGATTAGGTGAAAGTCTAACCCTTTCAATAATATGACTAGTTCCAAATATAAGACTCAGGTATGCTTTCACATTTCCCCTTATTTCCATGCCACTTGGCTGAGTGACTATTCTCCTGCTTAAGCAGAACATTGGAGGGTTTTGCCTTCTGGAAAATAATGAATCAGAGAGACTAAATACTCCTAAGAGAGGGGATACAGTGCTGAAATGGGTTAAATATTATTCCCTCCCAATTCAAAGCTATATTGTGATTGTATTTTATTTCCTTCACCAATTTGTTTTTCCTAGAATTAGTAAGGAATCGTGTATTCCTATTTCTCATTTGCTTAGTTTATCTTGTATCTAGCAATAATTTATCCCAAGATTGTTATTATAAAATATAATAATACAGTACTAATATCTAATAGTTACAAGAGTGCTTACTGTTGGCAGGACCATTCTAAGCTCTTAGGATATTTTTGGTAATTTAATCCTCAGAGCATTAAAATTTTAATCAACAGCAATAGCAGCAACATTCTTTCACCTAATACAGTATATAATTTTCCTTCCACAACTAAAAAGGCCTTACCCTTTTCCCTAACATGGATATCTAGAGTCCCATGAGTATTTGGTGATTTTTCTTCTTTATTACTTTAGTTCTAGTCGTATCTTCATGTCTTTTAACCTGTAGACTAAATTACAAAATCAACACCCTCTACAAAGCAGGATAGAGATGGAGAAAAAGGAAATTGGTTAATATATAAATGGTTACTTAACAGAACAAATTTCGAAATGTACTTAATACAATCCTTGTCTCTATATGTGGACATGTGGCTTTAGTGGGTATTTATAACTTTTCCCCTTCTACCCATCCTGTTTTCTCTTATAGTTCAAACAACCCCAGCTGGTTAGGATGCTATATATTATCTACTTCTAAGTTTTGGTTTTCTATATCTAAAGCTTTATTCTTGAGGTTCTTGAGCCCTTTGCCATCTTGTCTGTTTTGGTTTGCATTAGTCTTCCATTAATTTTCACCACTAGATATGGCGGTACTAGTAAGTGCTACAGAGGATCCCTAGGGCACCAGACTTTATATACTTCTGCCTCCATTGCATAGCAGCAGCCTTCTTTTCGTTGATAATCGTGATCAATTCTCCTAGCGAACACAGTTAACTTGTTCTGCTGTTGATTCAGAGATATGAGAAGCTTCGTTAGAGCAAAGTTTCAATTCTCAATTCTGGTAGAAGTACTCTAGTTTGAAATAAGATCTCAAAAGCATCAACTTCCTGGCCACCCTTCACAAAGTTTAAGGGTTAGAAAACCAAAGAAAATCATTTTCCCTTCCACTCTTTAGTTCATAGACTCATATATTATACTTATAAGAGAAATAACTTCATATGTTGGTTTCTAGTTCAGAGCATTTTGTGGGACAGCACCTTAGTTTTCTAAGGTATTGTGTCCTACATGATACCAAACTGAGTTTTCAACGTGCCATTCCATCAGTATGTATGATCATCTGCTTCTGGGAGAAGCATACATCATAAGACCAGTGAATTTTTGCACAATGCTTTATGTTATTTTGTTTTTTCTTGGTCAGAAACTGTGTTTTATGGATGCCATCACCCCTAGAAAGTCCATAGTCAGGTAGTGTTTGATAAAAAAGCGTAGTAGCCTAGGATGTCAATTTTCGTGTATGGAGTAAGAAGAGATTTAATGTAATCACCCTGCCACTAGATAGCTTGTTGGTCTCCCCAGTGTTATTTACTATATCCTGAGTCCAGAGTTGTTTTTTGTCTATGGCAATCTGGATGTTCGGTAATAGCTGTAGTCAGATCATCTGTGATGAGGGAATCCATGTTGTTCAAGTCACAGATATTTCTTATACAAATTTGGCAACCAGTCTGGCATTGTACATTATATGATTTTCTAAAATATAGTTTACATGTGTACAATAGCACTCCACCGTCAAGCAAAAGTGGCATATATAAGTTTAGACCTGGCAACACAAATAAATTGTGAGTATATGACTCACATTCAAAATGTATACCTCTGGCTCATGGGAAATTTTCTCTAACTAGGCAACCAGGGAAGAAAAACAGTTACTAAATCTGATTTATAGATTGTATCATATGATATATTAGCACCTGTTAGAATTGGACTAACTAAAATTTTCCCTTTTCAAAGAGGGAAAATTTTGAAGTATCATATCTACTTATTCACTTTGGAGGCGGATGA